TTTCAGGAAGTTTGGAAGATCTAATTTGGTGAATATAATTGGTATAACTATGTCATTATATTAAATGGTGTAGCTCTTTGGTTTATATAAATAATTGAATAACAATATTAGGTTAGTGTCATAATTTTGTATAATTATCTAGTATAAATATTTGGTTTATCATAACACATAAGTAACTATTTGGTGTATTATAGATCAATTGTAACTGATTGATGTAACTAATTTGTGTAATTGTTTGTTGTAATATTGATATAAGTAAAGAGAGAGAATATAAGTGGGGAGAGAGAGATGAAAAATTAAATCAAATTTTTACATATTTGAAAGGGTTAATTGCACTGAAATTCTCTAAAATATGGAGTTTGTCTCATTTTAATTCTCAATATTTCAATTATATCATTTTAGTCTCTGATATATTAAATATGTTTCTATATAGTCCCCCAAGCAGACATCGTTTAGATTTCTAATGATTTTTATCATAAATTTATCAAGTGATATTTAAATATGGACAAAATTATTTTTTTTATTTATATTTAGATATTACGTGACAAGTTTATGATAAAAAAATCTTTAGTAATCTAGGCATTAATTGCTTGAGAGACCATATAGAAACCATATTCAATATTTCAGGGAGCAAAATGATACAATTGAAATATTGGGAACAAAATGAGATAAACTATATATTTTGGGGACCTCTAGAGCAATTAACCCTATTTGAAAAAAAACTAAATTACCAATGAGAGAATAGGAGAGAGAAAATAAGGGAGAGAGTGTAACATAGAGAGGGAGCGAGAGAGTGAAATAATAAAAATTATGAATAATTTAAGTAAGGGTAAATAAGTAAAATAAAAAAAGTCATTTGAATTTTTTATCTAATCACAAGATATTTTATTAAAATTGAACTTAATAGAGTAAACAACTTATTCATACACTTACTCTCAAATAAGTCTAAAATATGTACCCGCACCCAAACAAATCCTTAAATTAATTTTAATTGGAAAATTTTAACCATACCCATTCTGTTTTACTATATCTTTAAAGACACTCATCTATTATTAAAAACATCACTAACACCCCTACCATTAAACCATCATTTCTAACAAAAAAAATTAATCTAAAATACCAAAAATGTTCCTACATAAACCCCAAACAATTTTTCTAAATAAAATTAGATTAAAATCTGAATGGATTAAAATTTATTTTTCTACATATTAAAATTTGAGCCTATTAAAATTCCTTTTTTATATATTAAAATTCAAGCTGATTTGAGCACTACATGAGCTATTATCGTCGATTAAAATTTATATTTTTTACTTATTAAAATTCATGCAATTAAAATGCGATTCATGTTGATTAAAATTTATTTTTTACGTATTAAAATTTGAGTCAATTAAAATTTATATAATTTTATGTATCAAAATTTGGGCCGATTAAAATTCAATGCGAGTTGATTAAAATTTATTTTGAGCCAATTAAAAATCACTTTTGATCAACTCAAATTTTACTACCTAAAAAAATAAGTTTTAATTAACTCGAATCGAATTTTAATCGACCCGAATTTTAATATGTTAAAAAATTTAGAAAACAAAAAGGGTCTCATTAATGATATGTCTATCTATAGGGGTGTGAATGAAGTTTTTTCTTAAATATATCATAGGCAATTTAGCAAAATTGTATTATAATTAACTTCTTTAATCTAAAAGGGGGTGTTAGTGAAGATTTAAAAAATAGATGATGTGTCCTTGAAGATATGATAAACTAGAAGGAATATGACTGAAAATTTTCTATTTTTATTCATTCTGATCTTATTTTAAGGGCCCTAAATTAAAATTTTAGACCCGATTCAATTAAGATCAATTGTGTTCTTAAGGTCCCAAATAAAATTGTAGAACATTGTTCAATTAAGTTTAATTTTATTTCTAGTGAAAAAATAATTTTAAGTAATTATATAATACTATTAATATTATTATAATAAAAAATTAAAGGACCTCATCTACCATATTTGCCTAGTGTTACCCCTTTAGCTTTTGGTTCGACGTTGGCATAGGGCAATATCACCCAAAGGCTCTCATGCCTTATTCAAATTGGGTTTTGCTTGAGGAAGCAAACCCTTGGTGCAAAAGATGCTTCCTAAAGGACTTGGACTTGTATTTTGTTGGGATAAAATGGTTTGGCAAAGACTCAATTAACATGCAACGACTATGCCCCAAGCTTAGGTTATTATGACTCTTCGGCTCAGAGTACGTCCAGTGTTGTCACTACGTTTTTGCTTCATAACGCTATTATAAAGGGTGCTCCGCGAAGGGGTGTCAAGTCAGCTTCTCTAGGGACCCATATGCCCCTAAGCCTTGGCACATGGAAATAAGGCACAGCTCCAACAAATGCTTGTCATGGGTGGAGGCAAGGCATTCCAAATTCTGAGACCGAAATGCAGGGCCAATGATCGAAGGGAACCCATCGTTGGTGGAAGCCCCATGCATGGTTGAGGGAGGCAATGCATGTATGGACGCGTTGGGCATGACTAATAGGTGAATTGATGACCCATGTATGACTGAGTGAGACAGCTCATGCATGGGCACGATTAGGTGCAATCAGTGAGTGATTGAAGCCTCATGCATAGTTGGGCATAGCAGCTAATGCATGAGCACGTGGGCACAAACAAGCATGCAAGCAAAGGCTAGCCTGGTGGCTTGATTTTGTGGGGCAATGCTAGCTTGAAAGACCAAGCCATGGACTGGGCATGGCTAGGCACAAAGGCAAGACTAATCAGGTGTTGTGGGCTCGCAAGGAAGGCAGGTGCACAACATGTGAGGTGGTTCTAAATGGTTGTGGCATATGCCCTGGAGATAATGGCGATTCTAGATGGTTGATGGCATGTTCATGACATTTAGGGGTAGTTCTGTGCAAAATGTTGGCATGTGCACAGCATGAGGGTTGTTGGCATGTGCACTCAGAAAGCACAACAATTGAGGGCAATTGCTGGCTGGTTAGCCAACAATTGCAACTGCCCCTTTTCATGACCAGCAAATGTGAGAGTGGTAGAGAGTCTCAACCTTCATCACGAGCTGTGGGTGACTTTGTAGGCAAATCTGGTGTAGCTTTGTAGTTGCCTAGGGAGTGGGGCTTTGTAACCACCATTCTATATGCTATAAATAGGCATGTATGGGTCTGCAGTGCAACCAAGAGAGTTGAGCACGTTTTTGTAAGCTGGCCCTGACTGAATGTTCCTTTAGGTTGGGTCATTGGCCTGTAATCTTGTGTGTGTTGTGTTTGCTTGTTGTGCCAACATTTTGTTCATTGTGTGCATTTCTGTGAACATTTAGAGTGCTTGGCTGAGACTGAGTGTGGATATCAGTGCTATCATGAGATGAAAATTTGAGTGAGAAATTGACCCCTTGACACCTAGGATCACTTTGGGCCGCCCCTATAAAAGCAACTTCAACCCTACTCAACAAAATAACTACTTAAAATATATTAAAATACTGAATTCTCTACTTTAGCTAACCATTTTTTAAAATTTACTCCAACCACACTCTCTATTTTAGCTCACTAGATCAACTAACTTTCGGCACAAATCTGATTTCAGCACAAAAGGGAAAAAAAAGGGGAAAAAACTTAATCAAACTTCTCAGAGCACAAAAGGATAATCAAACATAATCAAACTTTTCAATAATATAATCAAAAGCTAGAAAAGATTTGATTTCAGCACAAAAGGAAAAAAACAAACTTCTCAGAGCCACTTTACATATCTCTGTCGCAACAAACATCCACTAGCAGCAGCCAAGGAGCAAATAAATGGGAGGGAGAGGGGTTTTTGGCAGCAAAACAGCAGGGAGGGGGAGGGGTTTTCGATAGCAAAACTAATCACTAGCAGCAGCCAGCAACAACATATAGCAACAAGAGGAGGGGGAAATGAATATCTGGTTCTGTATGCAGCAGCAAGGAGTAGCGGTAAGGAGCTAACAGCAACTAGCGAGCAAATTTAGCATCTCCATATCTAGCGAGCAAATTTAGCCTCCTAAATTTTGGCAAGGAGGATGGCTGGTGGGTTGGAGCTGAATTTTTTAGTGTTACTTGCCAAATTAACTAAAAGGGTGGGATGACCAGCAGCTTTGGAGTTGATCAATGGGTTTGCAATGCCTGGTCAAATTTTGCACACAGGATGTTATGAAGGTCATGTGCTAGGTTTAGGGCTCTCCAAATGACACTGTACAGAAATCAAGATGGGAAACCCCATGGGTACCCATTTTAACCGATCAAATTAAACTAAATAATAGTACTCAACCCAATTATAACCCGTATTAATAAAAGCAGGTATCCAATCCATTTATTCATTGGTGAGGTGGGCAGGATAATGGGTTATGAGTTTAAATTACCACCCTACTTGCAAAATAGCCAAAAAGAAAGGTAAAAAACTCTCAAACCATCATTTGAAAGAATATAACTGGTATTTTGACATATTTTATTTTGCAGAAACCAAACAAAAGATTAGAAATTACGAGAAAAATCATATTCACTCCAAAGCCCCAAATCTCATTAACCTAACCTACATTGGATTAGACTCGATAGTCAAATAACATTATTTTTTAACTCGAACCAAACATGTCCTAAATTTCTGCAAGGACAGCTTGGTCTCCCCCTAAAATCAACGAGCAAGTCTTGACATTGAGAAAGATATTGTTTCTCTTGATTTTCACAAAACGCACCACTTTCCATAAACTGAAAACATACTCTATGGGAAATAAAATACTCACTGTCAACAAGCTGTCCTCGATTAACTGCTAAATGATAACGAATTAAATCTTCTCTACGTGTTTGATAGGTAAAGAAGAGTGGATATACTTGACACTATTGTTCATAACACAATAATGGGGCTACTCTTCCCCCAAACAAACTTCCTCAAATTGCATGGGTACCCATTGTATGATCAATGCCAGGAAAATCACATCTCATTTTCCAGGGAAAATGACATTTGCAAATTAGAATTTTCTAAAAAATGAGGCTCATTCTTCACCAACTTGAACAATCTTTTTCCCAACATTATCACCACGAAATAGTCCGGCGAAAGCAGATGGGACACTCTCAAGACCAATTGAAACGTCTTCGAGCGCCTGCATTTTTCCAGTGCGAAGGTGATCAGTTGTTGTTGTGATGAAATCTGCGTACACAGCCATATGGTCAGCAGCTAAGAACCCTTGAATTGTGATTCTCTTGTACACAACGTCGAGCATGTGGGGTGCAGCTCGTTTTCCACTGTCTGTATACTCAGAGATCACTCCACAGACAGCTACTCTGCCGAACGTGTTCATGTTGGAAACTGCTGCTTCTAGCATCTCCGCTCCCACATTGTCAAAGTATATATCAATCCCATCAGGGAAGTACCTATTGAGACAAATAATGAAAATTAGAAATTAGTCAAGCTTTTTGTCAAGTTTAAGTTTGCTTAAATTCAGTTTTTGTCGAGACAAGAACTTATTCGAGCCCAATTGATCATACTTGAGCTGAGATACACATTGTTTCGGTTAGGCTTGTTTACAAAATGAATTCCCAAATCTGATCAAATTTAATTTATTTTGCATTTGAACGAGCCCAAACAACTCAAAATTAAGCCGAGCTCGAGTTGTTCAAATCGTTTAAGACTCTGGCTACACGGTATTTGGTATTGGGCTCAATTCTCAAGCATTTATATGTAAAGACACATTAAATGGTTAAAGACAACAGTTTTTTTTGCTGTTTAGTGACAAGCACATTCACTTTGAGAATATTCTAACCTTTTCAGAGCTGAGTTTAGATCAGTTTCTTCTCTATAGTTGAATGCATCATCAAAGCCAAGCTTATCTTTCAGCATGTCTACCTACAATTCAAGTCAATACAAAGATATTAGTTCAAACATTACAATTTGATAATAAGAGAGAGAAAACAAACTCCAACTATCAAACAGGATTACAAGAAACACCTAATTTGTTGGTCTTTTTACTTCTTTTAAATGATAAAAATTATACGATTGATTTGAAAGGTATCATTATATTAAGCAAATCGTTTATCAACAATTTTGAACTTCTAATTATTACAATTCTTCCTCTCTAGACTCATAGTTTTAAGGTATACTTCTAATGCATGCAATCACTCGCAAGTAATGCGCATCGTTTTAGACTCAGGATCTATTTAGACAATAGAATTCAAACTAAAAGTATGCGAATTTATCTCTCTCCCTTTTCTAGATTGAGTACGAGTTAAAATCTCTAATTATTTGCTGTGAAGAATCTTACAAACAGACCTTTTTCCTGCTACCTGCACATCCAACGACATAGCAGCCAAACAGCTTTGCATATTGTCCCACCAAATTTCCAACTGATCCAGAAGCAGCAGATACAAATACTTTTTCCCCCTTCTTTGGTTTACACACATTGAAAAACCCACCATAGGCTGTAAGACCACTAAATCCTGATAACACACAAATAAACTCTTATATATGTTGAATTTCTCAAGATCAAGACTATCTAAACAGTAGTAATTTTAGTGATAATATCATCATTGTAGTTTGGATTTCAGTGATAATATTGCTCCTTGAGGATGTACAAAATGTGTTTATGCATTACCTGTCAATTATTAAACGCAATAATAAATGATGAAAGTCAACACAAATAAAGCACAATTTAAGTGATTCGGTCAGGATGACCTGAGTATTTTATTGCTCAAGGGATATAGAGTGCTCATATGTGAATGAGATATGAGAGATGCCCCCTAGTATAAGTGGGACTTACAATTTATAAACACCTCATAACAGATTGAGACACTTTTCTTATAACAGGTGAGGTAATTCTGTAGAGGCGACGTCATTGAAGTAACAAGCGAGGCAATTCTGTGGAGGTGGTGACGTGCTCATTCCAAGAAAATCTCCTCGCGTGTCAGTTATGGATTGAGTTTCTCACAATGATGCGGTTGACCAAACTCTCTTAAGATGACGCGGCTAACCTGACTAAGCTTCCCCCATCCTGTGATAGGATTGACCTAAATACTTAAGGTGGGCGTGGCCTATATTTTTAAACTGAGCCTCTGAGTTAGACCTGATTTATAATTCTAGACCTGGTCTAGGCTAAGCCCATCAACTCTGATCTAATCACTCGACTTAACAATATGTCAAGTGTTGTAAGTGACCAATAGTTAAGTCAACTATAATTTTATTGGACTACGATATTGTTTAGTCAATAATTATGTTTGGGTAAATTATAGTTTGACCTTTTCAAGTATGACACTTTTTTTATATTATTCCTTCAATTATCATATTTTTTATATTATACTCTCAATTATATGATTAAAGTCACATTGCCCCGATTATTACAGTTAATTATGTATTTGGTGGAAAGTAGTTTCATTTTGCTACTTCAATCTGTGTAATGTTTTTCGCTTTGCCCCCAATCGTCAACACTTTCCATCCAAAAAGATAGTAAACGTTTGTAATTGGAGCAATGTGAAATAATTATGATAGTTGAGGGGACAATACAAAAAAATCACTAGTTCAAGGGAGAAAGTAAAATTGAGGCCATAGGTTAGGAGGTAAAAGTGTAATTTACCCTATTGTGTTATACTATTGTGACGCAAGAGAATTACTCTTTTAATTTAATGGTGAAGCCGAAGGAATAGACGAAATTGAAAAACTACATTGGCACCACAAAATTCTGTGAAATTGCACTTGAGCCCCCTTCTCTCTCTCTCCCCACCCCCCGGGGACGAAACTCAATTCCCAACTTCATCAATCAGAGATTCAGAGCCATAATTGAATCTATTCAATATCTGTCATTTACTACAAATAATGAATTGTTGTAAACTAAAAAAGAAGCTACTTTTCGATACAATAGTCTAACATTTTTTATGTAAATAAAAAAAAAAACCAAAAACCAAAAACCGTAAAGATTATAGTAATGATGGCGGTGACCAATTACTTACCCAGAACTCCAACATGGTGAGACAATGGAAAGCCCATTGGATCCAACTTATTCAAGATGACACCCTCTTTCAGTATGCTGTATTCTCCCCAGCTGATAAGCCCAACAACCAAATCATCCTTTTCGAAATTGGGATTTCCAGAAGTCAAAACTCTCCCTACCCCATAAGTATCGATGGCCTGCCACAAAAATCAAACCAACGATCCAAACATCAGAGGCTAAAACCCGCACCTCCAAACTTCAAGTCCCACATAAAATTTCTAAACATCGTTATTGGTTTGTGTGTAATTACGTACATTGGAGCCACGGGTCTAAAAACACATGGTTGGAACAATTTCTATTTGAAAAAAAAAGAGTAGGTGACTCACCAGGCCAGGAGTAAGGGAACCTGAAAAACTGACAGCTGTTTGTGAAGAACTGTAAGTCTTCATGCGGTTTAACTGGTATGGATCGATTGATACATAGAGATTCTTCACAATAACATCTTTTGATCCAGGCTCAACTGAGAGAGAGAGCGTTTCCATTTTAATCTCAAAGTCAGACTCTAGTGGTGAACCATCTATGTGATGCTTCATTGTTACAAACTTGTTTGTGACTTCCATTGAAAAATCTTTCCCTTGGGAGAGTCAAAGAATAGTAATGAAGAACAAGAAGAATGAAAGGCCTGTTCTGTTGTTCATGGGATTAATTGTTGCCTAGTACTTATAATGTCCTGAAAGCCACACAATGTGACAAGTCCAATGACTTCATTTGTTTGGCAGAGTTATACTATAAAGTGCAATTTCACATCTGTCCAAGCGATTCATTACGGGTTTGAGTTCAAAAATCAAGCTATCCAAAATATTATATTATTGTGAATATAATCTCTATACTTAAAAGAGTAAGATTGTGTACATCTAACCCACTAGACTCTACGATGGCGGGAGTTGGGTACGCACTCACAAGTATTTCTCCCTCTAAAAAGGAGAGCTTTGTTCATGTAAATAAGTACACCAACAAACAGAAGACTTTAAATATATTATTTAAGAAATAAGAAGATGACAAAAAGGGGACATCTTTCCTAACAAGTCTGTTGATGCTTCTATAGAAAAGTTTCTGTAGCAAAACAGAGCAAACGGATACCAAAATCAGTGAGGAATATTGCCGTCCACACAAGGTCTCAATAAATAAATAAAAAAAACAAATGCCAACTGACTATACAAAGAGGGTTTATATACGAGACGTATTAGCGGCTGAGCTTGAGACTCTAATATTTGTTGCTTTTTTGGCACTTCGGCATCCTATATTCCAATGGCCTTTTCTTTTGGGCTTGAAATTAGAGGGGTTTGTATCAAAATTTGGATCAAGATTGCGTTTCTTCGTATTACACTTTTACTTAATTTTAATTGTGGATTCAAGTTGGATTCACTATTTATAAGTGAGACGCTCACGTGTATATGGTGGATGATCCATCTTTTTTCAAAATTTAGTGAAAGTATCATGAAGAAAATCTAGGAAGATCTAGATTTCAAGCTATGAAAAAGGATTAAGATGGATTGAATGTGTGATAATCAGTTCATGATAATTAGTTTGGTTTGGTGTAACTGTTCTCCGTTATCGGAATCCTCTTCTCCAGACATTGAAGTTCGCCTTCACAGTTTCTACCCTGATTTTTAATGGTTAGTTTTCAATTTTTTTTTATAATTTCTGTTCGAAAGAACTCAAACTAAAATTAAAAATCACTAACAATTCCAAATGAAATAACAAAGTCAAATTCTTTTATGTTGAATGAATATATAAAAAAATTTAAATTTTAAAAAACACTAATTTTTAACAATTACACTAATTTTTTGTTTGTTGTAGAATTATGGAATAACTCTATTTGATATTTAATGCATTTGATTTGTATATCTATTTTGGCTAACTGTTTGGTGTTACAATCGACATTAGAATCGTCTAATGGTACAAGTTTCTTTATTTTTTTTAATTCAATTTTTTTGTTTGATAAAACTCAAACCAATGTTTTGTGAAATGAAAATAATAAAATCTGAAATCTTTTATAATGAATACATGTATGTAAAGTAGAAAATTTGTAAAATTTGATTATTAAACAGTTACACTAATTATTAGTTTATTGTAATAGTTTGGAGTAACTCTATTAAGATTCACTGTTTTTGAATTATATTTCTGCTTTGGCTTCTGATTCTTACAAGCGGCGAAATATTCTGATATGAAGCATCATCACAACATACATTGATTCATTGTGTCCCTGTATGATGTACCTCTTTTGTGTGATTTCTTGGTTCACTCAATTTGGTGTATATAACTTGGATAATCATGTCGTAATACTAAATGGTGTAATTCTTTGATTTATGTAAACAAGTGAATGACAAATTAGTTTAGTGTTGTAATTTCGTGTAATTGTTTTATTTGTTAGAATAATGAATAACTGTTTGTTGTATTATAGGGCAACTGTAATTGATTAGTATAATTGTTTGTTGCAACATTGATGTCACATTATGTCTAAGTAATCTAATCACGTAGGCTCATTACAAGTTTTTTTGTTATAACTCTCTAACCGTCCACAACGACCACATCAAATTCGCCTAATAAGTTCCCCTTGACCTTATTCTACATTTTTTGGGTTAACTAGACTATTTCGTAGTTGATGGCGGTAAAATCTTAGCTTCAGGAAGTTTGGAAAACCTAATTTGGTGAATGTAATTTGTGTAACCATATCGTGATACTAAAAAATGTAACTCTTTGTTTTAAGTAAATAATTGAATGACAAAATTGGGCTAATGTCATAATTTTGTGTAATTGTTTAATTTATCAAAACACCTGAATAATTATTTTGTGTATTATAGATCAAGTGTTACTGATTGTTGTAACTAATTGGTGTAATTGTTTATTGTAATGTTGATATAAGCAGAAAGAGATAATAACGAGAGAGAATAAGGAGATAGAGAAATAGATTAATGCTGAGAAAGAAAATAGGGGGAGATAGAGAGAGAGAGAGAATAGGGGAGAGAGATGAAAAATTAAATCAAATCTTTACATATTTGAAAAAAAAAACTAAATTAGCAATGAGAGAGAAAAGGGGAGAGATAGAGAGAGAAAATATGGGGGAGAGAGAAAGAGAGAGTGAAAGAATAAAAATTGTGCATAATTTAAGGAAGAATAAATAAGTAAAATAAATAAAAAGTCATTTGAATTTTGTACTTAATCATAAGATGTTTGAAGTTAATATGGTAAACAACTTATTTCTACACATACGCAAACCCAAAAAACTCTTAAATTAATTTCGATTCATTCTGATCTTATTTTAAGGGCCCTAAATTAAAATTTTAGACCCATTGGATTAAGACCAATTGTGTTCTTGGGGTCACGATTAAAATTGTAGAACCATCTTCAATTAAGTCTAATTTTATTTCTAATAAGAAAATATTTTTTTAAGTAAATATACAATACTATTAATATTATTATAATAAAAAAATTAAAGGACCTCGTCTAGGATATTCGCCTAGGATCACGTTGGGCCGCCCCTGTAACTACGCATTTGCATCAATGGGTTTGCAATGCTAAGCCAAATTTGGACACAGGATGTTATGAAGGTGATGTGCCCTAAGACTATCCAAATGAAACAATATATAAAAGTCAATATGGGTACCCAATTTAAATTCATTTTAACCCATAAAATCAAACTAAATAATAGTACTCAACCCGATTATAACCCGTATTAACAGAAACAGGTACTTAATCCATTTATTTATGGGTAAATTGAGCGGGTTAGTGGGTTATGTATTTAAATTGTTACAAACTCACCTCTACCCACAAAATTGCCAGAAAGAAAGGTAAAAACCTCTCAAAACATCAATTTGAAAGAATTTAACTAGGACTTTGACATATTTTATTTCGCTCAAACCAAACAAAGGATTAGAAATTACGCAAAAAATCAAATTCACTCCAAGGCCCCAACTCTCATTAAGTTATATTGGATTACACTAGACAGTCAAATATCATTATTTCTTAACCCGAACCAAACACGTCCTAAATTTCTGCAAGGACAGCTTGGTCACCCCCTAAAATCAACCAGCACGCACGAGCAATATTATTTTTCTGTTTAGGTGCAGAGTAGGAAGAATTGTAGTACCTCAATAGTGGCCTTGACATTGAGAAAGATCTCCAGCTTTGTTAGTCTTTCTATTCCTCACCACTCTCTTTACACTATCTTAGTGACAAGTGACCATAAACTAGTGCTTGATTGCCCACTACATAGATCAATTTTACCATCAAAGTTAAACGAACTTCTATGTTCACCTACTAAAACTAAAAAAAATAGTCCAACGCATGAGACTCCGGTCATAACATTTTCAGTACAACTTGAAAAGATGCAAACCAGCATATCAAGAAAACAATACCATAGAACTTTTATTCGACGCTATTATTCTAGCAAAATGGTTGTAATCAGTTATCTGCGATTTCAACAATCTTCTTCCCAATGTTATAGCCGCGAAATAGTCCTATAAAAGCCGAGGGGACATTCTCCACCCCGTATGAAATGTCTTCAAGAACCTTAATTTTACCATCGTGCAAGTAATTAGCCATTGTTGAAATGAACTCTGGGTATATGTTTAGGTAATCAGCAGTTAAGAAGCCTTGAATTGTGATTCTCTTGCACACAACGTCGAGCATATGGGGTGCAGCTCGTCTCCCACTGTCTGTATACTCGGAGATTACCCCACAAACAGCAACTCTGCCGAATGTGTTCATGTTAGCTACTGCTGCTTCTTGCATTTCAGCTCCCACATTGTCAAAGTACATATCAATTCCATCAGGGCAGTATCTGTCCAAAAAAAAAAAAAATGCACCATGCACATGAACCGGGATCAACTCGGATCAATGCTCGTTTTATTTTTCGTTCAATTATCAAATGAATAAAGTTCGAGCTCAATTTTACAGATTAGGAGGGCACTTGGGTTACAGAGCAAGAACAGATTGAACAAACAGCAGTAAAATATTTTACGGATTTATTCAAGTCAATGCGTCCTTCTTCTCAACAGATGGAGCAAGTCACAATTAGTGTTGAACCGTGTGTTTCACCTGACATGAACCGCATCCTGTTAGCAGAATTTCTACCATCCAAAGTGCTTCAAGCATTGAACCAATTTCACCCAAATAAGTCTCCTAGTCCAGATGGTATGGGTCCAATTTTTTTTCAGAAATTCTGGCCTGTAGTGGGTGGTGATGTCACAAGAGTTGTGTTGGATTTCCTAAACTCAAATAACCCATGCTACAATCTTAACTACACCCACATAGTACTGATACCTAAGATCCCAAACCCATAAAACATGACACACTTTCGGCCTATTAGTTTGTGCAACGTTGTGTATAGACTAATAGCGAAAGTTCTTGCTAATAGATTGAAGAGAATCTTACCCACAATAATTTCTGAGTACCAAAGTGCTTTTCTTCCAGGACGGCTGATTACGGATAATGTCATTATTGCATAGGAGTTTAATCATTGTCTAAAGCAGAAGAAGAAGGGAGGCAAGGCATACATGTCACTCAAACTTGATATGAGTAAGGCCTACGATAGAATTGAGTGGAGTTTTCTGGAATCAATGATATGTAGAATGGGATTTGATGAGCGTTGGGTGAGAATCATAATGCGGTGTGTTTCGTCAGTATCCTATTCTCTTGTAATTAATGGGAGCAATCAAGCTGTTTCAGACCGCAACAAGGCTTACGACAGGGGGATCCTCTCTCACCTTACTTATTTCTATTGTGTTCCGAAGGTTTCTCAGCACTTTTAAGAGCAGCAAAGGTTAGGGGAAGTCTCAAAGGAATGGCAGCAGGACGAGGAGGGCCGAGTTTCTCCCATTTATTTTTTGCGGATGACAGTCTTCTTTTCGCCCAGGCTACTAGGGGGAATTGTGAGGCTATTATGGAATGTCTCCATAAATATGAATTGGCATCTGGACAAGTAGTGAATTTTTCTAAATCAGCTATTATGGTCAGTAAGAATACCTCGCCAACTGTTTTGGGTGAGATTCAGAGTATGTTACGAGTTCCTGTAGTTGAACACCATGATAAATATTTGGGGCTTCCTTCCATGGTTGGAAGAACAAAGCGCACCATTTTTTAATTCCATTCGTGAGAGGGTTTGGTTGAATGTGCAAGGCTGGCAAGAGAAACTTTTATCACGTGCTGGGAAAGAAGTCCTTATTAAGTCAGTAGTGCAAGCTATTCCGACATATGCTATGTCGTGTTTTAAGCTACCTTCTACATTATGTGCTAAATTGAATAGTTTGATGGCAAAGTTCTGGTGGGGTGGTAAAGGCTCTGAGAGGAAAATACATTGGTTAGCTTGGGAGAGACTATGTAGACCGAAGAATAGAGGCGGGATGGGTTTTCGGAATATTGAAGTATTTAATTACGCCCTTCTTGCAAAACAGATCTGGAGGCTATTTCAATATCCATCGTCCTTGTTGGGTAAGGTGTTAAAGGCTAAATATTTCCCAAATACATCAATAATGGAGGCTCAGCTAGGCTATAAACCCTCATTTACTTGGCATAGTATGCTGGAATCTAGAAAGTACGTGGTGGAGGGTCTACGATGGCGGATTGGCAATGGGAGAAATGTTAAAATAAAATTTGATAGATGGATTCCAAGACCGAATAGCTTTAAGGTTATTAGTCCACTTTCGGGGTTAGATGATGATGCTCTTGTGAGTTCCTTGATTGATTATGATTTAAAGATTTGGAAGATTGACAAGCTATATGAGGTGTTCCTGAATTTTGAGGCAGAAGAAATTCTCTCAATTCCAATTTGTCCAAGTTTCCCAAATGATCAGCAAGTATGGCACTATACAAAGTCGGGGAATTTCTCGGTCAAAAGTGCATACCATTTGATTATGGATTCCAGATCCCGTGGTGAATCTGGTTGTAGTCAAGGACAATGGGGTGGTGCATTTGTGTGGAGTTTAAATATTCCAAACAAAGTTAAGCTATTTGCGTGGAGGGCACTCCAAGATATTCTACCAACACAGTGCAATCTTGCTAGAAGGAAATTAAATGTCGAAAATAGTTGTTTTCTCTGTGGTGCTGCCCATGAATTAACTGTCATGTTCTTTTAAAATGTCCTTTTGCGAAACAAGTGTGGTTGGAATCTGGGATCAAGATGCCAGAATGTTCAGCTACTTCATTCCATAACGTCTGGTGGTTGCCTCAGGATGCTTACCATCATTGGAGATAAGTCTTGTGTTAATTATCTGTTGGTCTATTTGGTACAATAGAAACAAGGCTCGCCTAGAAGGGGTTGTCCAATCCCCTAGCCAAGTGGTAGATTTTTCAAGATCGTATATACATCACTTCATGGAGGCGCAGGTTCGTAAAACCCAAACTAATACTTCTTTTTCACCTGCTGGTTTGTATCACTGGTCTGCTCCTCCTCTGGGTTCTGTGAAGATAAATTTTGATGGGGCTGTTTTCAGTTATATTAAAGTAGTGGGGATTGGGGTTATTGCCAGAGATTGAGAGGAAGTTTCATTGGAGGATTATGCAAGCTAGTTAAAAGTTCTTTGAGTGTTGAATGTGTGGAAGCGTTGGCTGCTTTTTATGCGGTGGAGCTAGGAATGGAGCTGGGGTTAACAATTATTATTTTAGAAGGGGATTCAAAATCTGTTGTGGATGATATTAGGAGCGAGGAACCAAATTTCTCCAACTCTGGAGCTTTCGTTGAACAGATCCAGAAGTTTGCCACACATTTCCATGAGTTTTCTACTTCGTGGGTGAGGCGTTCTGCTAACGATGTGGCTGATAAATTAGCTCATTATGTTTTTCATTGTAATAATTCTGTTGCATGGAGAGAGGAATATCCAGAATTTTTGGATCCTCTTCTCCGGAAGGATATTCTCATTTAGTATTTAATAAAGCTTGTCGTTTCATATCAAAAAAAAAAAAGGTTCAAGCTCAATTTTGAGGATAGTTCAATAAAAGAGTCGTGCAAGCATATTCATTTGTTCAGCTTGTAAATATATTTCTATATGGATATAAAATGTTAGAATTAATAAGTAATATAAGATAGTTATTTGTATATATATAGCACATACATTGTTATGCATATGTCATATATCACATTTATATTTGTTTAGCCAAGCAAGCTTGATCTTGAATACGAGCCTGAACTTGAGTTTAAACTTGAACACAAGCTCGAGTTCGATTGGTTTCATCATATTAGCTGATTGAGCCCAAGCCGGTATAAAAATCAACGAGTTGTATTTGAACAAGATGTTGAAGCACGTTTTGATCGCAAACACTCTTCGTGAATGAACAAGTCAAGTCCAAACAGTCTAGTGTTCAGCTCGATTTGGTCTATTTGTACCCCTAGGCCAAACATGTTCTTGAAAAAACACATTCTAACGTGGCAATCACTAGTTTTCTGAGTTTTCACACACATGATTAAAAATTAAGAGGGGATTTTAACCTTTTGAGTGCTGACTTGAGATCCGTTTCTTCTTTGTAGTTGAATGCATCATCGAAACCAAGCTTCTCTTTCAACAACTCTACCTGAAATTTGAGTAAATTGCAGGATACGACAATCAATGATCAAAATTTCATTTTAAAACATTGTTAAAAAACGGAAACATATGAGAGTTGTTTCGGAAATAGAATGACAACACATGAAATTTAAAATATTGATTCTAAAACATGTCGAAACAAAATAAAATTTTAATCCTTATGGCAAATCCCAGGAGAGAAAGAAAACAAAAAAATTATTGTGACGTCAATTTAACAAGGGAACCTTAATTAGGGGCATTATAATGTGATCAAATAAAATTTTTTATTGTATGACAACAACTCTACCTAGAATTTGAGTAAATTACAGGATTTAATTAGCTGAAAAATTAAAATTCTATAAGGTGTTAAGAGCTAAAAAATTGATTAGCTATGACAATCAAATATCAAATTTTCGTTTTAGAGCATTAATTCGGTTAAATCAGAAACGGAAGCGTCGTAGAGTTGTTTTCAAAAATAGAATGACAATATAGAGAATTTAGAATCTTGATTTTGAAACATTCCGAAATGAAATAAAATTTTGATTCTTATGACAATCTCGGGGGAGAAGAAACCAAAAAAAAAAAAAAATTGTGACATGAATTTAACATAGGATCCTTAATTAATGGGACACTATAATGTGATCAAATCAATTTGTTATTTTATGACATTCAACCTTAAACTACAAACAGGAGGAATCTGACAATCTCATGACAGGTAAAATAAAAGGAATATAACAAGATGACCTTTTCATTGCTTCCAGCACTGCCAACAACATAGCATCCAAGAAGCTTAGCAAACTGTCCAACCAAATAACCAACTGATCCAGAAGCAGCAGATACAAACACTTTCTCACCCTTCTTTGGTTTACAAACTTGGAAGAACCCACAATAGGCTGTAAGTCCACTGGGTCCTGTAAAGATCAGATACCAGATGAAGCAAGCACACGGCTATGTAAAATTCTCTAAAGGGGTGTTAATTGAGCCGAGCTCGTTGAGTTTGAGTATGTTAAATTCAGTTCGTTTGTGATTGATTAAGCTCGAGACGAGTGTGACTGCTAAGCTTAGATTCTTGGCAAAAGCTCTACAAAACTTTTCAAAAAAACGCCCTAAACTTACTAATGAATCTTACACTAATCAATTTCTCAATATAAATCTCTCAAAAACTGTATAACTAACCACAAAATTAAACATAGAAGTTTAAATTTCTAAAAAATATACTAGAAAACAAAGGGAGAGAGAACTATATGGTCTAAAGTTATTTGGGTATCTGGAGAGTCATTTGGCAATACAATTAAATATATATATAAATAAATTCCTAAAAGACAAAAGTCGAGCCTACTCAAATAGAGTCATACGTAGCTTTAAGTCAGGTCATTTACAAAGTAAGCTTAGAAATTTACTCAAATTCAATTCTTTTTAAAAATTTGGAAGGGCCAAATCGAGTTGTTTCAGATCGTTTAACAACCCTAATTAGCAAATCTAAACAGGTTGTACCCAGCTTTTTATAAATGCTATTGATGATGAGAAATTACCTAGAACTCCAAGATTGTAGGACAATGGAAAGCCCATGGGATCCAGCTTACGCAGCATATTACCCCCTCTGATGATGCTATGCTCTCCCCATGTAACTACCCCAGCAACCAAATCCTCCTTGTGGAAATGAGGGTGTCCAGAAGCCACAACTCTCCCACACCCAAAGCATCAATGGCCTGTCAAACAAATCATATTGGAGTTTGTTGAAGTTCATTTCTTTATAAAATGAACCAGATAAGAATCCAATTTCAAGGCTCGTCCAATAATCAAGCCGAATTTGGGCAATGTCATGCTCAATTCACTGAGACTCGTAATCAAATTGATCTTGCTATTATTTATATTTACATACTAGTCTGGAAATGATGTTCAGTAAGTTTAATCTTGCAAGATATTTGAAACTCATTACGATCTTGAATTGAGCCCGAACATTCTTCATGTACAAATGAACGAGCCGAGCCCAAACAGCCTGACCCCTACCAAGGCCACTCAATGACCAACCTCTAATCAAGGAGACAGGGTCACAAAGAAGCACTCACCTCACCAGGAGTTATGCCAACTGCAAAATCTACAGCTCTCTGCGTGGAGCTGTGTCTCTTCATTCGGTTTATCTGATACGGATCGACCGATAAATACAGTACTTTGACAATAACATTATTGGATCCAGGCTCAACTGCTAGGGAAAGAACAGCAGTTTTAACATGAAAATCTGACTCTTGTGGCGTTCCATCTATGTGATTCTTGATTGTTATGTACTTCGTTGTTACTTCCATTGATGGAAGTTGAGATCAAGAAGAACAACAATCCCAATGGAAAATGTAGCTAGCTAGCTAGCATCTCCTTGGTGCCCTTACTTGAGAGATATATATAACCAGGAAGCTGGACCATATGTTATGTCAAGCTGTCAATGACCACATTAGCAGCGATGGAGCCATATTGTAACAAGGGGTTCATGGTGCCATAAGGTTTTAAAATTATTATTAGTTAGACTTTTAAGTTTCATTATACATCACCTACTATGTATTATGTATTAGTAAGAGACCCACTTTTGTACTACGGGTCACACTTGAATTTATGGTACATGATTTGATAAAGAGTGGAGTGGAGGAAAAATATATTACATGAGATCTCATTACAGTCGCCCCTATTTATGTACGTTTTTTATTTGACAACTAACAATCCTACGATATATCTTTTCTCAACTTTGAAATTCCTATTAAACCTACCTATTTGAACAAGAAGAACAACATTGAAGCCACTTGTATGGACAATCTATATCACTATGCATGCTATTTAGTTTGATGTAAGAGAACAAGCTTCGATTAAATTTAAACAAATAATACTTAAGAGATTTAAAAAAACATTATTGATGGGACATTTTCAGACACTCCCAGATGAGGACACGTGTACTTGGCGTTAATGGAGACTCTCCCGCTCTGATCCCGACATGTCTTCGTCGGTTTTCAACCCCCCTGTCCCAAGGATGCTATTCACAGGGATCAAGGATCCCCAAACCACCATGGACCGACATGTATTCCTCGGCAGTTTTGGTATATCGGTCCTAAATCATGCTAGTCCTTCGGCACCGAGGTGTATCTATCCACGTGGGCGTTTCTGCTCCTACAGGGGTTATTGATGGACTGATCACTAGCCTAGGCTAGGTTAGACTAGTCATCATGACCTCGTCTTATTCAAATGGTGTCAGGAGGCACAAGAAAGCAGAAGGCTCAACCAAAGGGGAATGGGCACGTGTGTCAGATCAGAGTCAAAACGATCAGAATGCCCTTGCTGACACACGACTTGAGAATGCAAGTATTTAATGCACCCTTCCCTTGATGAGACAACATTTAATACATGAGAGCTTGGAAGTGAAAGGTAATAAATGTCCCAAAGCCTGGGCATTTAATAAACCCCCGCCGAGGGAAGATCACTAAACGTTTGGCCGACCGAGGAGAAAGCATTAGTTACTCGGGGTCCCGAACAGTAAAGAATGAGAACATTACTCATAGAAATTGGTGTGCACACTGCCCACCTCCAATGATTACCTACTAGCTACGCTGTCAGCAATGATGAGTTTTTAAGGTATAAATAGTCCTCACAAACACAGAAAAGAGGTATAAAAGAAACCTTTTCTCAACCATCACACAGTGTTTTCTTCTTCTCCTCTCTCAAAGAACTGACTTGATCGTCGGAAGGGATACGCCAAAAAATACTTCGGCGCCCTTCTAACCTATTTTTCTCTGTTCCAGGAGCCTTCCTTAGCCTCTCAGGATCATTCAGGCGAATCATAAAAATGATTCATTATCCCTCCTTAGGCTACCTTCGGCCCTCACAACCGATCACAAGTAGTGAGATTGGCCACTTGATCGACGGACACGTGTTCATCACGAAAAAGATTTGTTCTTGTGTTTATATTGTGCAGGATCGTGCACGCACAACTTGGCGCCGTCTGTGGAAAACGACTAGTTTTCTTAGTTCCTTTTCTAGAAAGAACAATGATCATGGTGAATACTTGACAGAAAGGGAAAGGTCCCCAGCAACGAAGTCTCGAGTTACAAGCTCCTCACCATAACAGGGGAGGGATCACGTTGGTGACAACAGGAACGTTTCTGTTCAGTCAAGGGGGCATACTCCTCTAACCAGTATGGGCATTGGGTCAGGAGGATCTGCACCCTTGGCTCGTCAAGTGGCAGAAGTGATCGAAGAAAAGTTTGGGGATCGACTACGGTAGTTAGAAAAAGATAATGTGAATGTCCTAAGCCGGCTCAATGAATTTGCAGCCCCTGGTGATGGATCAAGAGACTCATTCCATTCCCGCGGACGCTCCGTCCGGGAAGCAGAAACCAAGGACTTGAGAAATCACTTGAACAACAAAGATGAGAGTTCTAGGGTCCCGAAGCGCCCAAGGGCCAATGAACACCCCCTCGATGATCATTCCAAGAAGGCGAGGCCTTTGGCTTGGGACGACCTCTGGCGAAGCTTGTCAAGATGCGGGAAAGGGGACGAGTTCGAGGAGGATTCAACCTTTTCCACATGACGCCCGGAGAAGGGAAACCCCATCAACGACCTTAGAAACCTTAGAGGACATCCCCCTGAGGTGGAAACTGACCTCAGAGCTCGGCTGGAATCCAAAAAAAAGGGCAAGGCCGTCCAGGACGATGCAGAAGACGAGGCAATGCAATCCCTTTTTACTGGGGATATCCGAGAGATGGAGATACCAAAGAAGTTCGTCGTGCCAAGGTTCAAAACTTATAATGGGAGATCTGATCCCGAAGCTCACCTCAGACAATACAAGCAAATGATGTCCCTCTATCACTCAAACCAACGACTTCTCTGCCGAGTGTTCTCCATGAGTTTAGGGGATTCCACTATGAAGTGGTTCAAGACTCTTCCTCCCGACAGCATTGGGTCGTAGAAGGAGTTGACGAGGCAGTTTTTAGCCCGATTCATTACGGGGAGTAAGTGGCCCAAAGATATTGGTTCATTACTGACTTAGGCGGAGGAAACCAGAAATCCTTCGCCAGTATGCCATCCGGTACTGGGAGGAGGTCAATGAGATAGAGAAGTGTTCGGAAGTCATGGTGGCCGCATCCTTTAGGCTCAGCCTGGCAAGGGACACGGACCTCTATCAACCCCTGACTAAGAAGACTCCCTTAGATATGGGCGAATTGATGGCTCGAATAAACAAATACTCTAGGTTCGAAGATGAGATGGGGGCGACAAAGGCGAAACTCTCGCCCCTAGGAGAAAAGAGAGGGAGTGGGAGGACATCTCCTGAAAGCGGCTGGTACACCCTCCAGGAGGGACATTTAAGGGTGTTCACATTGTGTTCAAGGAACCCATCTACAAGTTGCTCTATAAAATCAAACGTGAGCCATTCTTCAAGTGGTCGCCTAGGATGCAGAGTGATCCTTCCACCTGTGATCAGAACATGAAGTGCTCCTATCACCGAGATTTTGGCCATCGCACCGAAGATTGCAGAGTGTACAAATATTTCTTGGAAAGCCTGGTCCAGGACGGTTACTTGAAAGATTACATCGAACCCAAATCAGAAACGGGACATGCCCCTGCTCCGACCGTGGTACAAAACAACGTCATAGACGTGATCCACATGTGTTCGCTAGATCGCCCGACGTCCAAGGAGCTTGAGTCCGATCTCAAGAGGGTAGCCCTTACGAGAAAAGTTGTCGAGGGCGATGGGGGCCCGCCCAGTAAGAGGGCCAGGACTGGCGAGTCAGGTATCACGTTTTCCGACGCGGACTTGGCGGGCGTGGTGACTCCCCATAACAACGCCCTGATCATAACTTTGAAAATAGGCAAGTTTGATGTCAAGAGGGTGTTGGTAGATTTCGGAAGTTCCTCGAAGGTGATGTACTCCAAAACCTTAAAGCGGATGGGCTTTAGCCTTAAAGACCTCACTAAGGTGAAGACGCCCCTCGTCAGATTTAACGACTCGTTTGCCCTACCCGTAGTCAAAATTACATTGTCTGTCATCACGGGTCCCTTCACCATCAACACTGAGTTTGTTGTGATTGATACATACTCTCCCTACAATGTGATCATGGGACGAGCTTGGTTGCATGCGCTGGGGGCAGTACACTCCACTTATCACCAGAAATTGAAGTTTGCTACACCGGAGGGAATAATGGAGATCCGAGGGGACCAAGCTTCCTCAAAAAAATGTTTTTACTCGGCTGTGAGAGCGAGGGTTTTCACCCAAGAGAAGAGGCGTGCCCCGAAGGAAATCCTGGAAAAATAACAATCACAGTCCGAGCGTCCAGAAGTGGACAACCCCCAGACTGACCCAACGGACCGATCAGTATAAGACCTCTGGAAGGTGTTCTTAGTAGACGGTGATGAGGAGAGATAATTCCTGATTGGCTCCGCAATGCCTGCAGCCGAACAGGAAGAGATGACCGACTTTTTAAGGCAAAATACAGACGTGTTCGCTTGAACGCAATGGAAATGAAAGGGATGGACCCCGAAGTAATCACGCATAAGCTACATATGGACCCAGCACGCAAGCCAATAAAGCAGAAGCCACGGCGCATGGTGCCAGATCACGCCCGGGCGGTGAACGAAGAAGTCGATAAGCTCCTGGAGGCCAATACTATCCGGGAGGTGCAGTTCCCAGAATGGTTATCAAACACGGTATGCGCCAAGAAAAATGGGGGAAATGGCGTGTCTGCGTAGACTTAACTGATTTGAACAAGGCATGTCCCAAGGACGACTACCCCTACAAAAGGTTGACCAGTTGGTGGATGCCATTGACAGGTATCAGCGCATGGGCTTTCTGGATGTCAGGACAGGATATCATCAAATCCCTCTCCATCCCCCAGATAAAAAAAAATGGCATTCATCACTCCGAGGGGAGTTTACTACTACAAAGTCATGTCATTTGGGCTGAAGAACGCTGGAGCTACATACCAGAGGATGATAAATCAGATGTTCAAAAGACAGATCGATAACACCATGAAAGTCTACATTGACGACATGTTGGTTAAAAGTAGGAGGAGTTATGACCACCTGGTGGATATGGCCGATACCTTCTCCACCCTCAAGGAGTATGGGCTGAAGCTAAATGCGGCGAAATGTGTTTTCAGAGTAGAGTCCGAAAAATTCCTCGGATATCTAGTAAGTCGGCGAGAAGTCGAAGCTAACCCAGATCATATTCAGGCGATCCTAGACATCTAGAGTCCCCGAACAGTCCGAGAAATCCAAAAGCTCACGGGGATGTTGGCAGCGCTTAATCGTTTTATCTCGCACTCCTCGG